CCAGACATTGTCCCAGGTGTTGGGGGTCATAGAATTTGCATTTGGTGAAGTAGGAAGATATCAAACTATGCCCAGGATAGTCATTAATTTATTCCAGTTCAAACTATCAAGCACCCAATATGCACCAGGCAGCTTCAAGGGCTCTAGGAACATCATTGTAAACAAAACAGAAGAAAATCTTTGTCCTTGTGGGGCTCAGGTTCTAATGGGGGAATATAGGCAATAAGCAAAGTATATAAGAAAAGTATGTAGGACATTGGAAGGTGATAAATGCAGGGAGAAAAAGAAAGCCGGGTAAGGTGAATAAAGGGCTCTGGTATAGAAGGGATGATTGCATTTTAAATGGGGCAGGCAGAGGAAGCCCTGCTGAGAAATTACAATTCAGCAAGGCCTTGAAAGCAATAATGAGTAAACCATGCCAGTATGTGGGATAGGAGGGGTTCAGGCAGAGAAAGAGCATGTGCAAAGGCCCTGAGGCTGGTATGTGCCTAATGTAAATTGTCCCTGCCCTAGTGGAGTTCACTGTCTGGGGGAGAGGGGAGAGAGTAAATACACAAGTAAACTAAACCACAGTAAGATAAAAATGATCAGGGAGAGAGATCGACTGTGGTGAGTAACAGAGGAACCCCCCTTAAATAGGTGGCTGGAGAAGGCTACTCTAAGACTTGGCATATAGTAGGTGCTCAATAAATGCTCATTATTGTTATTGTTGCTCTTTGCATTAAAGAGGGACTTGAGTCACCTTCCAGGTGAAAATAAATTAAGCTTCATCCCCTCCCCAGTAAGGGGGAGAGAGAGGCTTTAGCTATCAGTGACTGGGGTAGAAGTTGACAGCAGTTATGATTTCTGCTTTCACCTCACTGGGATTCTCACCAGCAAGAGGCTGTTTCCACACATCCTCGTTGTCATTCACAGAGGTGCCTGTGCTTAGGAAGTGGCGCCAACTCTTCCTCTTTGGTACACAATGTGTCTCCTCTTCTATTTGGGGAGAAGTGACTTCTCTCTCCTTTCTCATCTCTTCTCCAGATGTCGCTATTACTCTAACCTCCGCCTGCCCCTGATGTATTCCCACCCCTACAGCCAGATCACCGTGGAAACCGAGTTTGACAACCCCATTTACGAGACAGGGGTGAGTGGGTCTCTCTCCTCTCCCGGGTTCCTCCCTCTTTGCTCTGAATTCACTGACAACGAAACTGAAGGTTTCATTTCCTTTTGCTCACAAGAGGCAAGGCCAGGGGTCCTGTCTCATCCTCACCAAGACCCCTATTGAGATAACTGCTGAGAGAACCCAGCTCTCTCTGCAAGTGATTGGAGCCAGTGATGAGCCTGAGAAGCTGTTCACTCTTGGTGGAATGCTCTCAGAAAGAGGTGGCTGCACCCAAGACCCAAGGAGAGATGACTAAGATGGGTCAGAGCCCACTGGTGACCTGGTGGCATCTTACTGAGCTCCATTCCTTACTGAGTGGCAGTGTGCAACATTCCTATACATTTGAGTGGCAGGACCTGTGCTGGATACTGGGAACACAGTCATGAACAAAACAGACACAGATCCTGCCATTAATGACCTTGCAGTCTTGTGAAGGAAACAGATATCAACAATAATAATAATAACATGTACCACATGCCGGGCACTTTAAATGCATAATCTCCTTGGATTGTTGCAAATTTTTGCATTAGATTCAACAATTACCTTTGATTGACCAATAAGGATATTAAAGTCCAGAGAGAGGGAAAATAACTTGGCCCAGGTTGCACACAGGCAGTATGCATGGACTGGAGCCAGAACACACTCTTCCTGGTGCTGCTAACCACTATGATATCCTGCCTCTCCTTCACCTCAGTTGATCAAGTGTGCCTGTGAATATCTTGATTACAATAAATTATAATTTTTAAGAACCATGAAAAACATTGGACAGGGTTCTATGAGGGTGTATGATGAGGAACATGTGGAGAGGGTTGAGGAAGAAATTTTTGAGGAAGTGACAGTAAAGCT